CAAATAAAGCAAGTTACAAAATGGAGTATGTAGTATGACCCTTGTGCTACTCATAGCACAATAAATATTCATTGTATGAATCATGTTTTTATGAAACCATGTTTCTATACAAATCGTTGGAATAACCCCTGGAAAAATTGAAGCACACATGTCACAAACCTAGGTATTTCTGGGAATGAGCTCACAAGCAATTATTTTTTTTTGTCACATCAGCATGTAATTGTAATCATTTTTGTCAGAAAAGGAATAAGGGTTTCAGTGGGGCATGTACTAGTGGTGGTGAGGGGGTGTCGAGGAGTCCAGGAAGACAAAGAATGTTTGGAAGTTGATTTAGGGTAGCAATTGTACAATTCTTGATGTGATTGAACTAAGGAACAATATGATATACCGTATATACTCAAGTATAAGCTGAGTTTTTACAGCACATTTTTTATAATCATTTTATTAGGGGCTCATACAACTCTTCACAATCCGTACATACATCATTTGTGTCCACCACATTAGTACATATGTTGACATCATCATTCTCACAACACCTGTTTTCTACTTGAGCCCTTGGTGTCAGCTCCTCATTTTTTTCCCCTCCCTCCTGGCTCCCCCCTCCCCCTCCCCCTTGATAATTTATAAATTGTTATTATTTTATCATATCTCACACCATCCGACGTCTCCCTCACCCACTTCTCCACTGTCCATCCCTGAGGGAGGAGGTTATATGTAGACCTTGTCATCTGTTCCCCCTTTCTCCCTCACCTTCCCTCCACCCTCCCGATATCGCCACTTTCTCCACTGGTCCTGAGGGATTCATCTGTCCTGGATTCCCTGTATTTCCAGTTCCTATCTGTGCCAATGTGCATCCTCCGGTCCAGCCAGATATGTAAGGTAGAATTGGGATCATGATAGTGGGGGGGAGGAAGCATTTATGAACTAGAGGAAAATTGTATATTTCATAATTGCTGCACTTTGCAGCACATTTTTAATGCCTTTTTTGGTAAAATGAGGTGTCTTGGTTGAGATTCGGGTCGTCTTATACTTAAGAACATATGGTATGTATTATCTCCCAATTAATAACAAACTTAAAATACATAAAGAAATAATGCAAGCAATGTCAAAAAAAGAAAAAGCAAGTAAAGTCATTTTCACTTATAAAAGAAAAAAGGATTTGTCCATGAAAAAGTGTCGAGAATTGAAATGAAGTACATCAAGGAATAGGAACTGATGGTCGATGGATATGGAATTACAGATAGCTCTTAAATATACGAAGATATGTTCATTATCAGAGAAACATAAATTAAGACTATTCTGAGATCCTGGGTTTTTGTTTGTATGTTTACCCATTTGCTTGACAAAAATCCAAAAGGTTTAACATGGAATTGTTCAATAGAGGAAAGAAAGAAAAAATAGTAATCTTTCATAACAGATGAAGCTAAAAATTATATGCAATTCAAGCTTTTATGGCTGTAAATGAACTTTTATTGGAACAGAGCCGCGCTCATTTAAGATGGCTTTTGGAATACAGTGGGAGAGCTGCGAGCGGTTGACAACACCCTGCCGGCTGAATGTCTGAAGGATGACTGTGAAATGTGTTACGTGCGGAAATGGGACGGGCGATACTGAAGCCTCGTGTTGAATGAAACAACATCAAAAGGATGGCTGTGGTGGAGCGCATGCATGTGGAGTCCTTTTGAGGACGCCTCTGTCTTCTCTTTAAATGGAAGCCTCGGGGTCCTCCACTACGGCAGCCTCCATCAGCCCCGAAGCCAGGGGGAACGTGCACTCGCGTGTGCTGACCCACGGAGGAACATCTTTCTGATACCTGTGGGTTAGCTATTGGAGTGTTAGCAGTTCCTGGGTGCTGCAAACCAAAAGGTTGGACTTTTTAGTCCACTCTGAGGAACCTTAGAAGAAAAATCAGCCATTGAAAACCCCACGGAGCACCGTTCATTCGATTCTGAAACACTTGGGATTGCTAGGAGTTGAAATCGTCAAAGCCAGCAACTGATTATCGCAGTGGTTAGAGCTGGCACGGAAGGGACAGGAGTGGAGGGAGACTTTGACTCTGGCCATTTACATTTGTGATCCCAAATCCATTGAACGTATGACATAAGCAGATGTTACATTTTGGCCTCAGGGATGGCCTTTGTCACCTTGGAGTTCAGCTCTAAGGGAGAGTCTGAACCACCCTCTCGTGGTTAACAATTGCAGTGTTAACAGCGCCGCCCACTATAAACTCACTGCCTTCCACCCTATAGGACAGGGTAGAACTGCCCACGTGCTTGTCCAAGAGTGTAAGTCTTTATGGGAGTAGAAAGCCTTGCTTTTCTCCCTCAGAGCAGCTAGTGGTTTCGAACTGCTGACTTTGCAGTTAATAGCCCAATGCAGAACCACTAAGGGTTCTACAGAAATAAGGGTAGGAGCCTCTAAGGGAGCGGGGAGTGGGAAGTTACATGTAACCGGACTGTGGAGCATCTTTTCCAATTCTCTTCAGCTCAGTGACAATCTCAAAAGCCAAATGTGATTGCCATCAAGTTGATTCTGACTTGTGAATTACCCTACAGGACAGGGTAGAACTGCCCTGTGGGTTTTCCCAAGACTGTAACTCTTTACAGGTATAGAAAGCCTACTCTTTCTCTCACAGAATGTCTGGTCATTTGGAACTGCTGACTTTGTGGTTAGCAGCCTAACACGTAACCCACTATGCCACCAGGGTGTAGTTTCTCAAACAGGAAAAAATTCGTTTTAACTTGCTAAATGGCCTTTCACAGCTGGCACTGGAAACAGCCATGATGAGCAGAAACTGCTCAGTGGGCCCCCATCAAACGGTGCCCAGGGAAAACCTAACAACAACAACAAAGTAAAAGAGAGGGAAAAAAATTCCGTAGAAAATATTCAAAACTAGAACAAAATTTAAATGCCCCAAAGAGAAATCAAATGATATGGTGTTAAAATTCACAAGCACTCTGCATGATATGATTTGAATGATCTGATATGATATGACATCATCTATGGTGAGAGGAGATTCACCGGAGGCTTAATCCATGTATAGTTTGCCTTCATTTATTATTTAATGAAAACAACTTTTATATGGGTAGAAAGCTAGATCAATTTATAAGCTCTTACATATTAACTATCTGCCTCATCGACTTTAAAAATGCTCTCTGTCTGTTTTCAAGGTTATTCACATCTCTTGACTATGGCCAGGGGGCATCACTGGAGGCTTAATCTCTGTGTGGACCCTGCAAATGGATTTTGGACGTCCACTGTTGCCCATAGCCTTCTGCAAACCAGGTGTTCACAATGTAAGTTGTGGTGCTATTTACTTTCCCTGTAAACCCCTATCCCCACTCACTTGACCCTCCTGCCGTCAGGTATACTGAGGCTTACACACATTGAAGAGAAGTTCATTTGGTCCCATACATATCAGTAACTCCTTCATTTGCAAATCCTGTCGTCTGTGTGCTCTCTGCCACCACAACCTCACTTCCTGGGCAGCCACCACTTTCTAAACCTTCCTCCTCTGACTCAGAAGCACCACATGGACGAGCCCCTTTCCCTCACAGATGGCCTTCTTTCCTCAACAAATGGCCTTTCATCACAGTTCACTTTTGTTGACTTCTCTGGGATATGACACTTATCTCCCCTCTTTTGTATGGAGTTGGATTTCAGGACAGTGCTGCCCTAGGGTCGCTCGGTCTCACTCTTGTTTTCTCACTTTCTCTCTCCTCTCTGCTGGCCCCCCTTCGTCCCCCCACTTACCAACAGTGAGTAGCTTCTGATGATTGCAGCCAACTCACAAACTCCCTCCCTCCCAGAAGCCGCCAGGGCTTCAACCATCTCCTCGGAGAACCCTTTCCATGTCAGCCATGTCAGCAGAGGATAGAGCAGGTGCTTCACAGATAAACACCTTGAGTTAAGTAAATCAGTAGCTGAAGAAGATGGGCATGCCATTCCCAAGGGGTGTCTCAGAAGACAGCCTGGACTTCCTGGCAGAATCAGTCCCATAACCGAATGTAAGCAGGGGAGGGCTGCTTACATTCCCTGTAAACCCCTATCCCCAGTCACTTGACCCTCCTGCCGTCAGGTATACTGTGGGCAGCATCCACACCCTTTGGGTTCTGGTCCCACCTGCGTGGCCATCAGTGCACTCTGACAGCATTGTCTCCAGTACACATCCCTCAGTAGAAATGTAATGGGAAATGTTGCTTGGCATTTCATCTCTCAAAAGAAGTATTCACTCTCACTCTTACGCTGAATTGGAAAGGTGAGTGCTATTTCTATGACAGCAGGGACACAGTGACTACCTTGCCCTTATGTGGGCATGTCATAGGAACTAAATTTGAGGTAGAGGAGGGATATCTCGGTATATTGATGAGTTTCCTTAAATAGCGCTGGAGACTCTCAGGCCTGCCTTTGTACACATCCCATTTGTCCGTGAATTTGCAGTTGATAGGCTTAAAACAACTAGTTGGCATGCACTACACTAAGTGTTGGCGATACCAACAACCAAAGCATGTCCTCTGCTTCAAAGAGCTCACCCTGGTACGGACACCATCACGTGTCAAACTAACTAGCATGAAGTTAGGTGGGCCTTTAGAGAGAGAGGACAAAGGGCTATCACATGTGCCAGAGTACTTAATGTTCCATAAAGTGCCTCACACCCATCACCCCACTTCATATTAACACCCCAACATAATCAGGTGGGGGGGGGGGAAGTGGTGTTGATTCCTTTAGACAGATGAAGCTAGCAAGGCATAAAGGACTAAAGCCATTTTTCCAAATTATGTGTCTGACTGTGAGATTTCTTGAGTGGGTAATCCCTCGGTTCTTGAATCCACACTGAAGCCAGTTTGTAATCCAAGTGGGTTTTTATGAAGGACGGAGAAGTTTCAGGTTTTACAGCCTCAAAAGAGTACACCCTATTTCAGGGAAGCATGCCAAGCTGCTCGGAAGCCGCGGTGGGGTTCACAACTGGACATGAGCAGCCTCGTGGGACAACACATCCACATGTGCGGAGCTGAGGCCGGAGAGAGAGTGGCACAGCATGAGAGAGTAAGTGAGCCGAGAGCTCCCCCTCTGACCTGCCACTTACCTGATGGGGAGCCGGGTAAAAAGAGAGTGGCCTTACCTCTGCTAGGGCATTTCAAACCTCTGGCTGTGGGGAGACTTGGTTGGTGGTATTGGTTGACCCCATGGGCTGTGTTGAGCCCATCTGGGTGATGTCATGAGCCTGGGCCCAGTTTAGACCACCCAGGAGTACCTCCCTCCTGCCTGGGGGTTTGAATTGGAGCATGCTCAGGTAAGAGGTCCTCATAGGTGTTTAATGCTCACCTGATTCCTTCCCAACCTCCTCCATGGGGCTTTTGCAGGCATGGGAGGGACAACCCCCTGTCTCTGTATCTAGCACCTAACATGACCAATGACCAGAGAGAGCTTGTACTTGAACCTAAGTGGCTCAGCTGAAGCCCATGCCTTTTCTTGATTGCACTGCACAACAGGCTGCCTTCTACCTCGGTTTCCTTCTTTGTAAAAGGTGCTAGACTGGAGTTTTTACATTTTTTCATAGCTCCTTTCAATGATAAGATTCACGAAGTTCCCAGTCTGGGAGGGAGACAGACCCCAAACTAACATTATTCATTCACCTGCCTGCCTCATGGTGATTGTGAAAATGACATTGTGTAATATACCCATCCACTGAAGCGTTCTGTAAGTCAATACAATGAGATGAGCAAAGTGCTAATGGACTAGAGCAGCAGTTCTCAACTTGTGGGTCACGAGCCCTTTGGGGGCCGAACAACCCTTTCACAGGGGTCGCCGGATTCATAACAGTAGCAAAATGACAATGATGAAGTAGCAACGAAAATAATTTTATGGTTGGGGGGTCACCACAACACGAACTGTATGAAAAGGTCGCGAACTTATGGATAGTAGGTATTTCTCCTTATTAGGCCAAGGCCCTGTTCCCTACATTATACCCTCTTTGTTAGTGGGGTTGCCCAAAAGGCAGATCTAGAGCCTCAACACACCCTCCCCTTAAAATAGGGCAGCAAATAGATCCCATCCGTCTCTCTGGAAGGTTACAGGGCTCATCCGAAAGTCCACTGCCATCGGCCGATTCTAACTCCCTGCAGCCTCCCAGAGCGGAAGTGTTGTTGGGGGTTATAAACCTTCGCGGGAGCAGAGCTCCCTGACCTTGGTGGTTATAAACCTTCCCAAGCTCCTGGGCCACCAGGGCTGCGAGCCTGCGCGCCTCCCATCGCTAAGCAGAGTGCCTCCGCGTGAATTGTCGAGGAAACGGCGGCCAAGACCGGGCTGGGTTCATCCCGAGTTCTTTCTCCCCTGACACATGTCTGTGTTTCGCAAACCGCTTTGGTGGAAGTTCACCGCGCGGGGGTGGGGGTGGGGGTGGGGGGGTGTCGGTGCACCCAAGATGGGAGAGGGCGAGAAAAGGGCGCATGAGGAAGCAAGAGGAGAAAGCAAACAGAAGACGAGAGGAAAATGACCCTCACACTCTGTAAAACTCCCCCTCCCCCCCAATCTCCTTAGATGTACGTCTTTGTCTGTTAATTCGATTTCATCTCACAGGGGCCCCTGATGATACAGTAAGCCGCCCTGTAGGGTTTCCTAGGCTGTAATCTTCGCTGGAGCCAAGGAGGTGATGGGACTCAAATTGTCATGACTTCCCCGGGAGTTTGCAGGATCCCCAGTGAGCTCACCAGTCGTGCCCGCGCGGCCACGGGACAGGACACGTAAGGCAGGTCTCACGAGGCCCAGAGTTCCAGGAAGCCGCGCCGCCACACACGGCGGCGGCCCCGCCCCCTCGCATTCCTCGGCAGAGGCGGCACTTGGCTTTGTGCTGTTTCAGGCACGCCGGCGCAGGAAGTGGTCCTAGGTGCAAACCCCTCCGCAACTCCATTCCCACTCGGCTGCGCTGCCTGTGTTCAGTCAAGTCGACGTAATCAGGACTCTTAAGAAATGCTGGACAGGAGGTCTCGAGGAGCTTTGCCAGCGTGGTGGAAGTGGAGGTGCGTCAGCTGGCCGGGTGACAGGTGGCAGAGGCCAGGGGCCTGGGGAATCACTTACAGTCACGGAGGTGTCTTTCTCTCCTGCCATTGTCCACTGATGGGAACGAGCTGGTGGGCTGCCAAACCGCGCGGCGGGAAAGCCAGTTTCTGGCCGTTTGCCCGCGAATTTCTTTAAATAGCTGCACAGCAGGCTAGTGTGCCTAGAGCGATTTGCTGAATGGCTGACATGATTTTATAAAAAGCTAATCTCCCTCTCGGCAATTAGAAAGGAGCTGGATTTGGATTTGGGAACAAATGCAGAGCAAAACCCCCCAAACCCACTGATTCCAACTCACAGTGATCCTTCTACAAAAACACTCACTGCCATAAGACCCTATAGGACAGAGTAAAACTTCCCCTGTGCGTTTCCAAAACTGTACCTCCTTTACAAGAGTAGAAAACCCTTCTTTCTATGGAGGAGCAGCTGGGGGTTTCAAACTGCGCACCTGGCGGTGAGCAGCCCACACTTAGCCATGAGGCCACCAAAGCTCCCTATAGTGACCTGTGGGGTGTAGTATTAAATTAAAATTGGCATGGCAAAGTGGGGTGCCAGCCCCACCCGCTACTAGAACTCACTGGTTCAGTAATACAACTTCTGGGTTCAGTAATGCACAATTGTACGGTTGAGATATATAAGTATTGTATTAAAGTCATCGAGAGCATGAGTGATAAAAGAGATATTGCAATGATGCAGTCAGACACATTTCATGGTAGCATTGCTCACCTCAGCCCAGCTTGGTGGTCCACGTGGAGAGAGGGGGAAGGGAAAGAGGGCAAGGGAACAAGGGAGAGGGGGAAGAGAGGGGAGTGACTAGAGAGTCAACAGCAAGGAGATCAGAGATATCAGAGAGGTCAGAGGTCAGAGAGCTTTATATTGCTGACTCATGCCTATATACCTTTTGGGGGCAAGCCAGCCCACTAATTACAGGTAGAGACATACCTCGCAGGGAGGAGCTGCACTATAGGTTACACAGCAATGAGAGGGTGGTCTAGGGGGTGGTCTCTGGGTCCCCATAGGAACCATTATCAGTAGGGTGAAAACTCCTCCTACAGGAGCCTGTCCATTGTCCCCAGAGGCAGGGAGCAGGCCCACCCCTGTGGTGGGATGAGACAGCAGTCTGGCAACTGATTGCCCTCAGTGGGGGGAATGTCTAAGCATCTGACCTCCCCCCACAGTGGGGCAGAGTAATACGGCCCTAGAGAGTTTAAAAGACTCCATGGAAACAGGCTGCTACAGCTCTCTCCTGTGCAGCAGTGGGTAGGTTCAAACTGTTGACCTGTTGGTTAGCAGCCGAGTGAGCTACCCCCTCTGCTACCAGGGCATCCTGAACCTACCTTAAGGGGAACCATTTCACTGGTTGGCCGGTTGCCAATTAGATCTCCCTTGAATATTTAAACAGAAAACTCAGAGCCTTGGCTTGACAGAGGCAACAGAGAAAGTCCCCTCCCTCCTATTGCTGTTGTGACAGGGGTGTCGCCACAACCAATTGGAACCAATAGAGCTTCATCCAAGGCAAAGAGCCTCCAGGCCCCTTAATGGCTCTCCAGTGTGGCTCCGGGTCAACTTCACTGCAGGGCTTCTTGGAACTGCCGATTCTCCAGCCCCACTCCACACTCATTCAAACAGAAGGGACCCTGCGCTGTTTCCACACACCCTCCCGGGGATCCGGTGTGTGCGCACGCGCTTTGAGAACCATCCTGTTACAAGGTCCTGGCTGGGGTGTGTTTTATGAATGAAAGGCATTTTTCAGAATGAAGGACGCAGTTTTCTTCTCTGGCTAATTTATTAGAGGATGGCCAAGCAATCATTATTTGGTATTACTTTCACAACATGAAGGAAAAACCAGCAAGCTTCTTTTGTTCACTCATTAAAACATATTAATTCCAGCAGATCGAGACTGGCATTTCCTAAAAGAATACTCGAAGGATAGGACACAGTGTCCATAAATGAGTGGAAGTGGAAAATATGCACCCAATCATTTTCAGAACACTGGAGGCCAGAAGGAAGTGCAGGACAGATAACCCAGACACCCAGTAGCTTTGCACTGCGATGATTTCATTTAAAAGTGTCTGCACACATCAACATGACTAATAGTTCCTGGCCGGAGGGAACAGTCGGAGAGTACACTAATGATAGATTTACATGAATACAGTAAAAAGTGAAACAGGAAAATTTGACCTCACTTTATCCTGACGTGAATATCAAAACAGTTTTCACTGTCGGGCTTAGAGAGCTGTGAGAAAGGAATGTTCTTGACACAATGATATTATGCATGCAAGTCAACATTGGGGATGGATGGGGTTTCTTTGTGAGTTGGTTATTCACTATAGACATTATTCCTCCCCGCTACCACCACCACCATGGAAAGTCTTATTGTTGGTGGGTAGGGGGAATGGGGTGTGTGTGAACAACCTAAGCCTGGAGCTATGTGAACTGAACTGCTCATGCAGTAGTGATTTCTACTGGGACAGAACCAGGGAAATAGCCATAATTTAACTGTTCCTCCACCAGTCCCAAGAGGCCAGAAGGTATACCCAGGGGCTGGGGTGAGAGAGAAAGACACTGGGATGGTGGGGGAAGGAACCCCAGAAGGGCCAGGATTCTTTCAGTGGAAGGACTGAGGGCTGATGGGAATCCCTTTACTGGAGTCTATGGGGGAGGGGGAGGTACTACAGTAGGGTGATCAATATGTTACTAGAAAGTTGTATAATCAAAAGTTGGGACCTGCCTCTGTTTGCCTCCGTTGGGACATGGACCTCTGAAACAAGTTTGAATAGCACCATGGTATACGTGCTGGCTCTGCAGTCTGATGGGTTCTGGTTTGAATTCCAAGTCTGCCAGTTATCTGTTACAGGACCTGGGGCTGGTCACTGAAACATGCTGTATCTTAGTTTCTTTATCTGCAGAATGGGAATAATGGTGATGGTAAAAGGAGTAGAAGTAGTATTTCCTCTGACAAGGTTGTTGAGAGAATGCAATGAAATAAT